CATAGAACTCAGCTAAAAATATGAACGAAAGGAAATAGAAGAGTGTGAAGCATTTACCTTTGGTTGAGGAGTCTCATCGATCGTAGAACTTAGGGGTCGTAGCTCGTAGGTTAGGGTTTTTGGTCGTGTTAAGCATCGGTTTGGGGATTCTAGGCACTCGATTGTTAAGGTTGAACGGAAAAAGGTTGAGAGTTTGGAGAGTTGAGGAGCGGCGCCTTGATGAGAGTGAGACGAGAGGAAGGGATTAGATAGGGAGAGGGGAGCATTGCGGTTGTGAGGAAGAAGAAAATATGAAGAATGAGGGTTAGGTTTAGTGTAAAGTAGGTTTTATATTAGATTTTTAGGGATAATTTCTTTAAGGTCACTACACCTCTGCCGTTGATTTCCATTTTGGTCCCAATCGAGTCTTGTTTGATTTGTAATTTGGACTTTATCTTCTATGCACATTTGATATTAGTCTTGAATGCTAGTATATGTATTTTCTTTCGTTTGCACATTTGGTTTTCAACCTTTTGCATGTTATATTTTAGTCCTTGATTAAATCTTTTATTTTTTTAATTCAGTTCTCAATTGTTGCGTCCATTTAATTTTGTCACTAAATCGGGGTTTCCAATTTTATAATTTGATCTTCGCATTTGTCATTGTTTCCTTTTCAGTCATCAGTTTATGTTATTTTCTTTTTTGTTGGTGGTTTACGTATTTAGCATTTAATTGTGGTTAATTGGTGTATTGTCCTTTAAAGCTAATCTATTGTATTTTAATTCGGTCTTTGTATTTCATGTTTATTTAATTTTAGTCATAAATGTTGATTTTTTTTTGTCATTTAGACATTTGAGCTCCAAGTTTTTGTATGTTATGTTTTGGTCCTGTATATATTGGGTTTATTCTAGTTTTAATCCATAATGATAATAGTAATTTATTTCAGTTGTTAGTATTCAATATGGTAATATGTGCATGTACACTTTAATTTCTTATTATGTTGGTATTTAAGGTAGTGAAGTTTGGTTTAATATAATTTAATCTTTATTTTAACAAGAATGGTTATTTTCTAAAACATGTATTTTTTTTACTTGTTATGTTTTTGCATGTTAGTCATACTGGTGCATTACATTTTAATATATATGTTGGGTATAATGTGTGTAATGTGTGGTAATATAATACGTGTGTAATTGTTTGTATTAAAATAATATTGCATGATATTTTAATCATATGTTTAATTAATTTTTACATGACATATTTTCTTGCATAATTTGCATGATATCCTCATTTGTACCACTCGACATTATTCATAATTAGATTAAGGGTAATATCCTTTTAATTTAAAATTATTTTAAGTGGGTTGTCTTAACTAATTAGGTATCCGCTTTTGACGATTTTAAATTAAAAGGGTATCCCATTATTGACATTTTAAAAAAATTGATTTATCACTTTAAAATTTTGGAGCGGAAGAAAAAGAAATATTCAGCTATTTAAATTTATCGAGAAAAGATAGTTGGAACTTATCTAAGATATGGTCTCGATATTTGTAAATAATCGAATATTATTTATCTTTCTAAAGGCTTGGTAGTTGTAATCAATTTTAGTGCTTTGAAATAATGTAAAATTCATGTGTTGTTGTTTTGTCGGGGATCATAAACCAAATTAAACTCAAATTTGTAAATTTCCTGGCAAAGACATTAATTAATGGACGAGGTACCGATTTAGGGCGCTGTGGGGGTGCTAATCCTTCCCCACGCGTAACCGACTCCCGAACTCATTTTCTGGTAACCCAGACTTTAAATTTTTGTTTTAATTAAAATTGACTTTTATTTAAAATGACAAAACATTTTTGGGTGTCCAATCACACCCTAATCAAGGATTGGTGGTGACTCTTCGAACCTGTGATTTTATCGTGAATGAATTCCCAAATTCTTGAAACGAGAGGTTTTCTAAAATCAAATTGTTTTTAATTTAAACTCAAACATAAAGAGAATAATTAAAAATAACGTGGTTTTTCAAATCTCGCCTTTAAAAATCGTTTCGACACCCTTATCATACGTTTCTGGTACATTGCAGTGACAGATAGCTTTTAATCTTTTTTCCTTAATCAAATTCAACTGATTATACCTAGCTTGCACCCATTCTGCTTCATCTAGCTTAACCTCTGACATCACTCGTACTGACGGAATCTCAACCTCGATGGGTAGCACAGCCTCCATCCCATAAACTAAAGAAAACGGAGTTTCCCCAGTGGACGTCCTCACTGAAGTTCGATAGGCAAACAGAGCGAATGGTAGCTTCTCATGCCAGTCTCTATAAGTCTCAGTCATTTTCTGTATGAGCCTCTTGATGTTCTTATTGGCTGCCTCTATCGCTCTATTCATCTTTAGGCGATAGGTGGTAGAATTATGATGTTTAATCTGGAACTGTTTACATGCTGACTTCATCATCTTGTTGTTTAAATTCAAGGCATTGTTAATGATGATCCATTCTGGTAGCCCATATCGACAAATAATTTCTCTCTTCAAGAACTTGCAAACTGTTGACTGAGTAACATTTGCATATGAGGCTGCTTCTACCCATTTAGTAAAGTAATCTATTGCCACGAATATGAAATGATGGCCATTAGAAGCTTTGGGTGAAATTTGCCCAATAACATCCGTGCCCCACATAGAGAATGGCCATGGAGTAGTCATTACATGCAATGAATGAGGAGGGGTATGGAGCTTATCTCCATAAATCTGGCATTTATGACATTTTCTGGCGAAATTAATACAATCAGTTTCCAGGGTTGACCAATAATACCCAAATCTCATTATTTGTTTAGCCATTGCATGCCCATTAGCATGGGTACCACATACTCCTTCATGCACTTCTTCAATGATCGTTCTAGCTTCTTTGGCATCCACACATCGTAGCAAGACATGATCATGACTTTTCTTATACAGGATCTCGCCATCAAGCACATATCCTACGACCATTCTTCGAATAGTTCTTTTGTCATTTTCAGTGGCCTGCTCGGGATAACTTTGATATCTAATGTATTGTAAGATGTCGTAATACCAAGGATTTCCACCATCTTCCTCTTCTATGCCATAGCAATGGGCTGGATACCCATAAACTTGCATCGTAATAGGCATCATGCTTGAATGTTCATTGACTTTAAAGGCTGCTGCCAAAGTGGCTAGGGCATCCTCCATTTGATTATCTTCTCTGGGGAGATAAAGGAATGTCACTTTCTCAAATTCTTTAATGAGCTCTATGACCAACTTATGGTATTCCACTAACTTCGCATCCTTTGTTTCCCATTCACCCCTGAGTTGATAAATTACCAGGGTTGAATCCCCGTATACTTTAAGTTTTTTCACTTTACGCTCAATGGCAGCTCTAAGACCCAAGATGCATGCTTCATACTCGGCCATGTTATTCGTGCAATCAAAGTTCAATCGGCTAGTAAAAGGATAATGTTTTCCACCATGTGAGACCAAAATTGCCCCAATTCCGTGCCCCAAGGCATTTGAGGCATCATCGAAAATAATCTTCCATTGTTCATTAGTAGAGGAAACTTATTCTTCAGTTGAAATAACCATTAAATCTTCGTCCGGAAAATCGAAGTTCAGTGGTTCATACTCTTCAGAAGCCCTACTTGCAATGAAATCGGACACAACACTTCCTTTAATTGCTTTTTGGCTTACATATTGGATGTCAAATTCAGACAATAAGATTTTCCAACGAGCCAATCTTCCAGATAAAGCAGGTACACCCATTAGATATTTCAGAGGATCAAGGTTAGATATCAGCCAAGTAGTGTGATACAACATATACTGCATGAGCCTTCGGGTAGTCTAAACTAAAGCACAACACAACTTTTCTATTGGTGAGTACCTCGTCTCGCAATCAGTGAACTTTTTACTGAGGTAGTAGATTGCTCTTTCTCTTTTCTCAGTTTGGTCATGCTGCCCTAATACGTACCCCATTGAATTCTCAAAGATTGACAAGTAGAGGATTAATGGTTTGCCTAATATTGGTGGCATTAAGACTGGAGCATTCAACAAATATTCTTTTATTGCTTCAAAAGCTCCTTGGCAATCATCGTTCCACACCTATGGGTTATTTTTACGGAGAATGCGAAAAATGGGATCGCACTTCTCAGTTAATTGCGAAATAAATCGGGAAATATAGTTTAATCTTCCCATGAATCCTTGAACTTCTTTTTGTTTTTGTGGGGTTGGTAAATCCTGTATAGCTTTGACATTGCCAGGATCTACTTCAATCCCTTTTTTGCTTACTACAAACCCCAAGAGTTTTCCCGATGTTACCCCGAAGGTACACTTGCTTGGATTGAGTTTTAACTGGCATTTCCTTAATCTTTGGAAGAGTTTCCTCAGATTCTCGATGTGTTCTTCCTCCGTTTTAGCTTTAACAATCATATCTTCGACATAGACCTCTATTTCCTTATGCATAATGTCATAGAATAGTGTTACCATGGCCCTTTGATAAGTTGCTCCTGTATTCTTAAGCCCAAACGGCATCACCTTGTAACAGAACGTGCCCCACATGGTGACAAATGTAGTTTTTTCCATATCATCTGGATGTATCTTTATTTGATTGTAACCTGAAAACCCATCCATAAACGAAAATAGAAAGTTTTCAGTCGTATTATCCACCAGGGTATCTATGTATGGCAGAGGAAAATTATCTTTCGGACTGGCCCGATTAATATCTCTGTAGTCGATGCACATGCGGACTTTCCCATCTTTCTTTGGTACTGGAACGACGTTTGCTACCCATTCTGGATACTTGGCTACTTTCAGGAACCCAGCATCAAATTAATTCTTTACTTCTTCTTTAATTTTAAGTAGCATTTCAGGTCGCATTCTTCTGAGCTTTTGTTGTACCGATTTACATAAGGGCTTTATTGGCAACTTATGTACCACTAACTCAGTATCTAAACCTGGCATGTCCTCATACAACCAAGCAAACACATCTCTGTACTCTCGAAGTAGCTCAATCAGACTTTGTCATCCCTCAGCAGATATGATGGTGCCAATTTTTATCTCCTTTTTATCTTCCTCTGATCCTAGATTCAAGATATCAATGGGCTCTTCATGAAGTAGAATTTGTTTATCTTCTTTCTCTACCATTTTCAGTAGTTCAGAAGGTAAGTCGCTTACCTCATCACTATCATAACCTCCAATTTCCCCTTGACATATGGGTAGCTCTATATTTATCTTCAGGTCAGAGTCATCAACATTCATACTATTAATACCGGAGGTCCTGAAAGAATAACGAACGAAAGGATATATATATATACAAATACAAGATGATCTATCCATATCAAAATAGAATGAAATAATAATATATAATAAATAAATAACGAGAAAAATGCAAGGGATGATGTTTGTCATTTCGTGAATTAACAGGAATGCATCATTTATTAAAATAAAAACATATAGATTAACCCCTTACAGAAGATCACTTATTGTCCCGGGGTTTAGACAATAGGGAAAGTTTTTGTGCATTACTCTGAAACAATTTTGTAAACTACATGTAATTCTTCTGCAGTCCAATTGTTTAGCACAAAGCCTGGTGGTGCAGGGTATATGCCCATAGCCATTCCATCTTCGATTCCTTCCTCCGATATCACATTTATACCCAAATCCCTCAGGGCATTTTCAATAACAGGCTCTTTAGATGATCGGGCCCCCTGAAACATGTTTCCTCCGGATATGAAGGTGTTACACAACGGTGAGAAAATCATGGGCTCCCACTTAATATCCTCCCTGGATAACCTGGATTTTCTCCTTTCATGGCTCTTTTAAACATTTTTCAACTTTTCTTTTAAGGTCGGACGATATCCCAGACCAAAATGATCTCGCTTAATATTGGGAAAAACTGGACTAATATTTCCCTGTAAGCGACTTCCAAGCCCTCTCCCAACCTTGGCTCCTCTTCCCAGAGTCATTTTCAGTTCCATTTTGGTACAGTTGGACAACCTTGGCTTTGGAATTTTCTTTCTTTCAGCAACAAATGTGGCATTAACAAATTCCAAGGCTCTGAAAGAGCACTCGACCGTATCTTCATTTACTTCAACATACGGGGCAGTAGTAGATATGGAAGCAATGATATCTTCCTCGGCATTAAGGCATACCAGTCTCCCCTCAATTACAAATTTGAGTTTCTGATGCAGAGTGGATGGCACGGCTCCTGTCTGGTGGATCCAATGCCTTCCTAACAAACAGTTATAGGAGGGCATTATATCCATTACAAGGAATTCAACCTCATAGGTTGATGGTCCTATGGTTAAAGGAATATCGATCTTCCCCAGTACCTCCTTCTTTGTTCTATCGAAAGCTCGAACAATGCTTTGGCAATTTCTCATTTGTGTACTATCGACCGGGAGTTTCTTCAAGGTTATTAATGGCATCATATTTAGGGCAGAGCCGTTGTCGATCAGTACTCGTGATAACACATGTCCCTTGCACCTGATGGTAATGTGCATGGCTTTGGGGTTGCCCATCATTCCGGATGGGATCTCGTCATCAGAGAAAGAGATGAAGTTATCCGCCTGAATATTTGCAACCAGTCGATCTATCTTTTCTACTAGCACATCTTTCGGTACGAAATTCTGATTCAAGACTTTCAGCAAGGCATTTCGATGTGCCTTAGAACTTAATAGTAGAGCCAGGATCGAGATACGAGCTGGCAACTTGTGTAGTTGTTCGACGATGATGTACTCGCTATGCTTCAAAAAATTTAAAAACTCCACAGCCTCGTTCTCCGTTACTGGCTCCTTAATTGTTGGCTCATCATCTTTCAGCAATATCTCAACCCTTTCCCCTTTATCAACGGCTGCTCTTTTCTCAAGATCACTGCTTGTTGTCCTTATAAGAAAAGGACGACGAAAGCGTGATCATCACTTTAGGGATTAACTTTTCTATAGTCCAAGCTTTCGATGTGATGACTAAAGGGCAGTTAGTATTGTAAAGTCCATTGGATGTGCCTTCGGAAGTGAAAATCTCTACATCTTTCTCTTTCTTAGCTTCATTGTAAAATTCCATGTCTTTACTATCCATCAGCCTTTGAACCAAGGCCTTGAACTCATCACAATATTGAATAACATGATCCTCGCAACGGTGGTAGGGGCAAGCATGCTTATTCCCCTCATCATTAAAGGTCAACCAGCCTAATTTGACCATTTGCCCCCATAACCAATGCATAGGTGACTTCACTTCATTGACTCTGATTATAACTTCATTCCCTCTTTCTTCAATAACAGCATTAACCCCTACCCCTACATGGTTCGGTAGTGGATTCTGAGCCACATTAGGCTGCTCGCTATCACCGAAGTTGATGACATTTCTTTGCCTTAATCTTTGCACCAACTTTTTAAAGGCTAGACAGTTTTCAATTGAATGCCCTGATGCCCCCGTATGATACTCACATTAAGCATTGATGTCAAACCATTTTGGGTAAGAAGACTGTATTGGAGAAGTGTGGTAAGGTGATACCACATGTTTGTCGTACAAGATCTGGAATAGTTCTTTATAGGTCATAGGGATGGGGTCAAATTGAACCATTTCTCTTTCTTGTCTTGGTTCTTTCACCCCTTGCTTAACAGGATTTAGTGCAGACGATGTGGTGGCTTGAGGTCGGGATACTGTAATGTTATTAGAATTATATTTCTTCACATTACTAACCTCATTATCATTCATTCTTGCTAGAGGTTTTCGGCTAGATTCTCCCCCGTCTAGCTTCCCGCTTTTGATCGCCATCTCAATCATTTCTCATACGTTGACTAAATCAGCAAAATTCTTGGATGAATTTCCAATAAGATGTCCAAAGAACGGGGCCCTCAGAGTATTTACGAAAAACATATTAGTTTCTTCCTCCTCTAATGGTGGATGAACTTGCACAGCTATATCTCTCCACCTTTGGGCATACTGCCTGAAGCTCTCGTTAGATCATTTTTCCATACTCTGTAACAAAATTCGTTTGGCCTCACATCTTTTACGTGTTTATATTGCTCTAGAAAAGCCTTAGCCAAATCCTTCCATGATTTAATCTGAGTCCGACTTAGCTGATTGTACCAACGGATTGCTGAGTCTGCCAGGCTTTCTTGAAAACAATGAATTAATAGTTGATAATCTCTCACATAGCCTGTCATTTTTCTGTAAAACATGGTAATATGTGCAGAAGGACAACGGGTTCCATCAAATTTCTCGAAATCTAGAACTTTGAACTTCGGTGGTAGTATTAAATTAGGGACCAAGCTTAGCTCTCTGGCGTCAATTCCATATAAGTAACATCTTCTTTCATAGCTCGAAATTCATGCTTCATTTGTTCCCATTCTTTCTTGAGCTCCTTATCATGTTCTTTTTTGTCTTCCTCATCCAAATCAGGGACGTCTTCAATTGGTTGTGGGTTTAAAGAAGAGCCAGGTAGGTTTACTTGTATTCTTTCTGATTGTGTAGTTGCTCTTTGTTGTGCTTTAACATGAGGTGGTGTAAAGCCTGGGGGGTATAGGGGTTCTTCAGAGGTAATACCAATAGTTGGAGCTGTAACACCAATATTTGAAGCTTTTCCACGATCCACTTGTGGTACAAAAACTGGGGGATACAAAGGTTATTCGATAGTAACACCGACAACTGAGGTATCTTTTCTTTCAATTTCTTCCTCGTAACATACTCGCTAGTTTCTCCATCAAATCATTCTGAGATTTTATCATTTGTTCATGTATCTCCTCCTGAACTTTCTTAAAGCTCTCCTGCATGTCAAGCTGAGTTTTTTCGATTTGGATGATCTTGTCTTCCATTTTCTTTGTTGACTGACGAGTATCGTATGGATGTGAGGTGTATGCCAGGATAACTACAAATGATTAAAAATTATATTTTATTATTTTGTGAATTTTAATGAATGAATTGTTATAATGTAATCATTAAGATTTTGAAAATTTAGAGAAAAAACATATGAAAATGCAAATGCAAATGCAAATGTAACCCAATATTGATTCAAAAATAACTTAGTTTATATAAAAAGTACTCAACAACACACAACATCTAAGCACTTAGGCAAAGAGATTATATCGACATAAATACTAAACGTAGAATCTTGCCCTATTTCTTAATATTTTGAGCTCTATCATCAATCCCATTATGCGATGTTATTCCTCTGTTTCTAGAATCACAAAAATTCTTAAAGTTGTCGCTTCTTCAGATAACTCGTAGACTTGGCGAGCTACATCGCGAGCCAGATCCATTACTTCATGTTGCCTTTGAATGGTATCCTGAGCCTGTCGTAGAGCAATTCCAAGCTCTGGATTAGTTAATGGTCAGCTCTCTTCTAACTGTTGGATTTGCTGATGGCATCTATGTACTATGACTTCTAATTCAGTAATCTTCGCTTTTAAGGCCTCGTTTTCTTGCATGGTTACCTCTTGTGTGGATGAGTGGATCAACCCTGCTCATTCTAGCTCCGCTATCTTCTTCTTTAACATCTCATTTTGTTTTTGAAGACTGTTGTAAGGGTTCTGAAAAGTCTTATCGATACTAAGCAGTTGTGCCTCAAGCTGTTCAATATGTGCTCGCCTTTGTGCTAATTCCTGGTTGGCCTCATCTCTTCGCTCTCTCAGTTTTTGAGCATGTTGTATGGCTCGTTTCTTTTCTTCTTGGCCTCTTCTAGCGCTTGTTTCTACCCTATCGAGTTTTATCTTTAGGGTTTTGGCAGTATGATGTAGACCATGGGCTCTCATATTCTTCTCTAAGGCCCGAAAATCTTGGTTTAGCGCATCAAAATTCTCCTAGACCTTCTCTTTCTCTTTGGCCAATTATTTTATCACTCAATCCTTCTTAATCATTTCGATTTCCCATATTGTCTTCTCTTCCGAGAAACTTCTCTGTTCTTTTTCTCTCTCTAGATTCATCAGTCGCATTTCCTCTTTTAACAACTCAGCTTCTATCGGGAGCCTCCTCAATCGCTCTTCCATAGTCAACTTGTCCTCTAAATTTGGCTTAGGTATGTTGTTGTTAATTCTTTGTGACCTTCAAACGTCATAGGTCGGCGTGAATACAGGCTCTATCATCTTGAAGCTCATGCATTGAGGCTTTTGCCAAGCTGCATAGATCTTTGAAATCTGCTCTCGGTAACCCAGAATAGAGAAAGAAAACTCTGCCTCTTTCAGGTTGTGGGTAACTGGTACGAACTGCCGGGTACTGAACTGTCTGAGTACAATTAGCGGAGTATACCCGATCGCTCCCCATAATCCGTGCAGCATTACAAAACTATCGTTACCGCACCTGAAAAGTATGTCCTCTTTGGGTAACCAGTAAGCCTTCCATACTATCTCAATATCTTTCATGTTATGGAGAGCTTCAACCCAGTCTTTCCTCTTACGATTCTCGGGGATTTGGCATTTGTTGAGGAAATCCACTATAGGCAGGAAATCCACTATAGGCGAAAAATTTGATTGATGTCTCCGAGCCCAACCTTTCTCGACTATCCAGGAGTGGCTCCACCACCAAACTAATAATAGTGAGGCACATCCGGTGAACTGATCTCCCCCCCAATCGTCTACACTGGTTCAGTGACAAGAATGTTTCCGCAAGGATGGCTGATGCAGGATTCTTTCTAGCGATAGCTTTGACGAAATCGATTAAGGCGATGTCGAAGTGATCCTCGTTCCTGGGAAAAATTACCAAACCATATACCGCAAGGGCGAAGTGATCTCTTCTTCTTTTCGATGGAGTTTGCTCGTAAATTAAACTTTTCAGCTGAGCCCAGGAGATCCCCTCATCACGAATATACTCTTCGACCCACTCCTTGGTCTTTCCTATCAGCGTGATCATCTTGGTTATGAACCCTTAGGTCGAATTACCTTGGTGTAAATGAAATGTCTTCTAATATTCGAGATGTTCAGCAAAGCTGTATACTCCTCCAAGGTCGGGGTCATGTCTACTTTACCAAAAGTGAAACACCTGTAAGATGATTCCTACATTCGACAAGGGCTCGAACCACCACCGAATCTATTGGTACTCTCAATAGCTCTATAATGTCGCCGTATATCCCTCTGAATAGTGTCTTCTCATTATCATCCCAGGTAGACCAAATTCTTGATAACTCAACCCAGTGCCTGTCTGACTCGGATAGTTACATTTTCTGGCAAAACTGAATCTTCGGTAGTGACAAGGTGTCCCGAACCGTGTCTACCCATATTCAGACTAGGTCTGAACACTGATTGCATTCTCAGTCTCGTCGGAAGACATTTTCTGCCTTAAGCTTTTTTTATAATAACTAGGTGATCTGGGAATCAATACCGTTTATGAAATGATGTGATATGATAATGATACATGCAATCAGGAAACAAAACAATAAGTCACTGATATTAAAATAATTCAAAAAATCAAAGAATAATTAATAAAAATTTAAAGTATCGAATGCGAAATAATCAAAGAAATTTAAAAATCCTAACATCATGTGATCTAGTTCTTCTAAGTTATCCGCATGGCTTTAAAGGGGTAGACTTACTAAATTCTTTATATGAGGTTGGGTTCTAGAAAATGGTTCCCAAGCCATCTTTACAACATGCTAAGGTTACCCCCCGATTCTGGCCTATTACAGACTTGCGAATCGGGTTCAGCTCAGGGGATCACACCACTAAAAGCGTACCTCGGATCTGGTATCCGGATAGGCAACTTAGGGTGCTTTCCAGAGATACTTTGTCAGACCCACACAAGGAAGCCCAATACTCCTCGTGAGGTGTGACGTTTCTCTCTACTTAGGTAAATCGGGGCTACTGAGCTCGGGTTAAAGCTTATGATATGCAACACTCCTAAATATTTCACAGAAGTGTAAGCATTAACCGGAGAGAAAATCTTTTTTAAGACCATAATGAGCCATATATTAAATAAGATCAAACTCAAAATTTAAAAAATCATAAATATAGGGTACCCAACTTGTGGCTAGACTCTCAACTTGTTAAAGTAAAACAAAGGTCCCCAGCGGAGTCGCCAAGCTGTCGTAACAGTTTTTTGATCGGGCGGGGAAAGACCGATATCGACTGGGGTTTTCTCTTTGAAAATTGTTTTGAAAGGTAAGGAGTCGCCACCAATCATTTAAGGTGAGATTGGAACACCATAAAAAACGGATGATTTTAATAAAACATTTTTGTTTTTTTATCAAAATATCGAGTTTTGAGGTCTACGAAAATCTAGAAATCAGGTTCGGGAGTCGGTTACGCGTGGGGAATGATTAGCACCCCTACAAGCACCCAAAAATTGGTACCTAGTTGATTACCCTATATTTAAAATCAGAAATTTAGAGTTCGATCTTTATTTAATTTAAAAATCATTAAGGATGCAAAGTTGAAAATGGTATTCGTTTATCGATACCGATAGCATTCGCCCCCCGAGCATAAATGCGTGAGATTAGCTATTGTGCCTAATAACTGAATATTACCTCATTTTTAGAAAACATGATGTGATTTTGAAAAGGATGTCGACTTATTCAAGGAATTACCAGTAGTCACCCCCTGAGCACGATCGCGGGAGATATACTATTAATTCCTTAATAAGTGAACAGTGCCTTAGATTTGTAAAAAATAATGCAATCAAACAAAATTTTATTTGTCCTAATTAAACTAAAAGTAAATTAAGGCTTATTATAACTTAAAGTGTCAAATTATGAAAATTAAGGAACTTAGGGTTCAAATCTAAAATGTCAGTTCTAGTATTAAAGTTTAATGCTATACATTAAAATGGATTAAATATTCACGTATTAG